ATATTAAAAAATATATATTTAAAACAAATAAAATTTTATATAAAGATGCTACTTTATAAAGTAGAACTACGGATGCCCAAAAAAAATCCATTGGAAAAAGTAATTTTAATGTTGAAAAACCTTTTGATTGATCATCGAGATGTATAACCATGAAAAATAAAAAGATTTTAAGTACCGAAAATAGTGCATTTTACAACATATTATCTAGACCATCCATTTTCAAGATTTTCATATATTTATAGATCCACTTGATTATAACTATTTTTGAAATTTAAAATTATATAGTTAGATATAAAAATAGTTTATAAGATAATCATAATAACATTTTACATCAAAATTATATACCATGATAAACTTTGAAGGTGCACCTTACCTCTACACCTAGGGATGCATCCTTGTGAAAACTGCACCCTTAAACAAAACACATATGTTGAAGTTGAAAAGTATTAAAAAATAGGAAAAATATTTTATTATTCTTTATTTTTAACTTATATATCTCAGCCGACCAAAAAATTTAAAATATTGTTTGTAAGCAAAATGACTCCATCTATGTATTATTGACCTTAACAACTTATGAAATGAGTTTATCTCTCTCTAAAACTCCATCTCTCTCTCACATCATCATCTTTTTCTCTCTCAAAACTTCATCTCTCTCTAAAACCTAAACTTCATCTCTTTCTCATCATAGTCTCTCTCTCTCAAAACTCTATCTCTCTCCTTAAATCTCAAATTCCATCTTTCTCTAAAACTCAAATTTCATCTCTCTCTAAAACTCTCTCTCTTCTATCTCTCTAAAACTCAAACTTCATCTCTATTTGAAACTCTCTCTCTTCTATTTATCTTTAAAACTCAAATTTCATCTCTCTCTAAAACTACTCTCTCTCTCTCTCTAAAACTCAAACTCTATCTCTCTCACATAAAAAGATGTACTCGTGTTCGAGCTCAAGCTAAACCCCTTGACTGGTAAACTCATCGAGAAGCGAAGAGAGAGAGTTGCAGTTTTAAAAAAAGAGAGATGGAGTTTTAAAAGAGAGAGATATGAAGTTTGACTAGGGTATCATTTCAGTATTTGTTTGAGTAAAAAATTTATGATCAAAAGGGTCAAGAGGATTATAGAAAAGATAGAGACTTTCTACATACAAATAATATTTTAAATTTTTGAATCTCATTATATATAAAAGTTAAAAATAAAAGATAAAAAAATATTTTTCCTAAAAATTATAGATTAAAAAAATCAATTTATGCTAAAAATATTTTAAAAATAATTTTTAAAAAATATAAAAATAAATATTCCACATCACAATCACCGTTTCGTGGGGGACAAGGTTTTTTTGCAGAGAAATCCCACTCTCTTTTCTCTCTGCGTGTCGGTATAACGGACGCCCATGTGGCAGTCACCATCTTTTCGACCGTCCCAATGTTCAATGCCCTTTTATACACGTTCCGAATGGAGGGGAAAATCGGTTAGTCACGTTTTTCTATTTAGGACCCCAAAAATACCAAATTTGTCCCTCCCTCGATTTGAATTAAACTGGAGGTATGCCGTTTTTCCCTTGACCTCCAAATTGACAACTTCCCACGTAAATCCACCTACATGAGTTGAGGTAATGAACAATGTTTGAAATCCGGTGATTCTTGGAGGTCCGATCTCCGATCGGGATAGAGAATCAGTAACAGCTCAATTGAAGTTGATATGGGTACTAGTCTCCTTTCCCCATGAAAACCCCCTACCCTCATCTTTTTCTTTTTTTCACCTCTAAATACCAATTTTTATTTTATTTATTTTTTTCGATTGATTCATACTTATCCATACTAATTAGAATCATCACGTATATGCCAGGTGCACGATCCACCCCACTAATAAGGTATTTAAAACATTAGCAATGAACTTGCATTTCAAAACATGAAATCGATAACGTAGATGGACCCTATGCCAATTCAGATTTATATTTGCTAAGTTGGATAAATCCCAATCAGCAAAATAGATAAAGAGTAGGGAAAATATCTTCATATCTTTTATTTTTACGTTTTATATCTCAATAGGTTAATGTTTCAAAACATAGGGTCATAGAAATTTTAATTTTTGTATATTCTATATCTCAATAGACCAAGGTTTCAAAACGCATATTGGGTCATAAGAATTCTAATTTTTGTATCTTCTAACCCTTAAGCTAACTTTATTCCTTTTAAATCTTTATCGTTTTTTGTCCCAAACAAATATAAAAAAAACATCATTTCTAAACACTATTATTTCTCTTTATTCACATGATTTTCCTCTAAATCTCTCTCTCTTGCAAGTCCCCCAAACCTCTCATCCCAAACCTTCATGGTCTCTCTCTCCACTATCCCTGCCTTAACCCCTCTCTCTCCTCTCGCCCCCAAACCCTCACCATTGTCGCTTCATCTGGTCGAACTCTGGCCCGTTCTACCATCTCTTTAAACAATTCGATGGCCAGGGACCATAGTCCATTTTACGCATACCCTGCAACCATCGAATTCCATGATACCACAATCCTAATGGGCATCTTGTCAAAGAGCTCACGGGCAGAACACAAATTCCCATTTATCAAATACCATGGAATCATATCGTTCCAGGAAAAGGAATTCTTATGATTCATGGCATCAAAGAGCTCTCTCGCTTTCTCCAAGCTCCCACACTTGCAGTACATGTCAATCATGGGTGTCTTCACAAAGCAATTAGGCTTCACCCCACATTGATCAATGAATCCAATAATCCATTCAGCAAGCTCGGGGTCACCAAGCTTCGAGCACGCAGATACCACAGTGGCCAAAGTGGTCTCATCAGGTGGAACCTCTCTCCTCATAACCATATCTCGAAAGAGCTTTATTGCTTCATTGAAGCACTTTTTGGGCGTAACCAGAGAACATTGCGTTCCATGAAACTACTGTACGATTTGGCATCTTATCAAAGAAGCGGTCTCGAGCCAAGCTCAATTGACCACATTTTGCATAGGCTGAAAGCATGGCTGTCCATGAAATCACTGCGTTCAGGCATGGAATCGAACAACTTTTGGGCATTTTTGAGGTCTTGGACTGAAAGCATAGCCGTCTATGAGACCATGTTGTTTTTATATTCGGTAGGGCTAAAATAATAATTAAAAGTGGGTAAAGTTGTTTTTATATTTGTTAAGGCTAAAATAATAATTAAAAATAGATAAAGTAAGTCGGGGGTTAGAAGATATATTTTGAATCATTGGATCTATTAAAATATAAAAACAAAAAATAGAAAGTACCGAGATATTTCCTTTAAAAAATAAAAGGAAACAATTACATAGAATATTTTTTCCATACATGTCCATGTTTCGTGTTTTACCAAAGATATTAGGGAAAAGTATACATAGAGCCTAGGCTCTAAATAATCAAATTAGAGCCTACTTCAAAAAATTAAGTAGAAGAGGTTATTTTGATGCCTGAATATAACCAAATTGATTATCTCGGCATCAAGATCTATGAAAATGGTGCATCTTATGACGCATTTTTTTACCATCAATTTTCAAGATTTTTAAGTTTCCATAGATATGATTAATGTACACTATCTTTGAAGCTTAAATTGTATAACTATAGATGAAAATATATTTTAAGGCTATTACAAAAATTTCCAATATTAAAATTATATTTCTCAATACTATTTGAAGGTGGGCTCTAATTTGATTGTTTAGAGCCTCGGCTCTATACAAAACCGCACCCAAGATATTATGAAACATGAATACTAGATAGTGGGGTTGAGCCCAGTAGGGTACCAAATTTGATCACCCTCTATTAATGCCGTTTACTCTATCAATGGCCACAATTATTTGGGGCCAAATTTGATCACCCTCTATTAGTGTTGTTTATTCTATCAATGGCCATAATTATTTAGGGCCGGGTACATGAATCTTCTGCTTAACTGAAGGCCATAACTATTCGGAATTGACGATACGAATCTTGATTTGTCTTTCTTCTCTATCAAGGGCCATAACTATTTCGGGTGCTCTTGGCTATAACTATGCTCTATCAAGGGCGATAACTATTTTGGGTCTATCAAGGGCCATAACTATTTTGGGTCAGTGACACAAATTCTCATCCGTCATTTTATTCTATTAAGAGTCATAAACATTTGGGTCCGTCATTCTGTTCTATTAAGAGTCATAACCATTTGGGATCAACTATATGAATCCTGATTGGTCATTCTACTCTATCTATTGAAAGTCATAACTATTTGAGATCAACTATATGAATCCTGATTGATCATTCTGCTCCATCTATTAAGAATCGTAACTATTTGGGATCAACTATATGAATCCTGATTGGTCATTCTGCTCTATATTTATGATCGCCTATGCTCTATACAAATCATAATCGGTCATCCTGCTCTATCAAAGATATCAAGGGTCACATCCTGCTCTATCTATCAAAGATATCAAAAGTCATACCTTATGTGAAGCCATAAATCTTCATATCTTTTATCACTACTTCCAACCATATATTTTTGAAACTACCCATTATCATTTTTTACCTATGAATTATATATAGATAAATTGTAATTATGATTATTTCATTATAATATTTTGATTGAGTAATTACTAAGATAGATAAGTATCATGGAATGAATTGTTCCAAGGCTGATTCTATCCTAATGGTTTTTATTAACTTATGAAAACTAAATCCACTCTCTCAAACCAACTCACACCTCCTAAAAGATGATGCATTAAATTTGTGTTGCATAAATCAACTCACACCTCCTAAAAAATGATGCATTAAATTTGTGTTGCATATGACCAACCTAAATCTACTTTCTCACATTTTATGCCCAGTTGATTTCGTAAACATTTTCATCAAATATGTTGTCTTCATCAATTATGTTGCGGCTTATAACCAATACACCCCTTACTAATTTGGTCGAATATGAATAATACCCGTTGTTGAGAAAAGGGCATTCTTGGCATTGTGAACAAGTTCCTAACATATTTGGTCCAGCATAGTAAAAAGCGAAACACATAAGACCACAAGACCCCCAAGTCAGTTTCGTCTTCCCAAAAACAACAATAACAACAAAGACCCAGGGGTACATTAGTCATTTAGCACTACCAAAGTATCTCCAAATTCCAAAAGCATATACCCTTTCTAGAGAGGAAGCCCCAAAAGAGCGGAGAAAAAAGCGGTAAAAACAGGAATAAAAGCCGTAGACTTCGGGAGTACGATAAACAAGCTCAACAGTATACTGTATATATTCACAAGACTCTTAGGCAAGCCGGGACTGTGTACCCCTCGCTCTAGAACTCTCCCGTTCTTAAACTCTCTCTCTAAACCTTCTTCTTCTTGAGGAGGAAGTCAAGACAGGGCTGTGAACTCCCTCTCTCTAAAAACTCACTTCTTTGAGAAGGAAAGCCAAGTAAGGTTTTGTACTCCTCTATCTCTAGGATTTTCTCTCTCTAAAACTCTCTTTTCATGCTTTTGACATAGAAAGGGACAGAAGGGGAAGGTGTATACAGGGCTTTCAGTTTTGAGGAATTTGTACGTTGAGACAGGGATGCGACTGTACAGCCGTACATACGGATGGTATGCATGTATAGGAAGGAAGAGACGAGCTTTTCTGTATTGTAGTTTTAGGTCATGTCCACCATGGTTCTTTGCTCTCCGCCACTGGTAATCCATGGGTGCCCTGAGAAACAAAACAAAGAAAGCACACAGGATTTTAGAGAGAGAGGAACTAGCCAGGTATATGATACAAGGTTTTGAAAAAACATGGAGACAATGAGGATTTCCATTATGTGGCAGAAATTTTTTCAGAGAGAGACCATTAGGACTTTTCTGAAGCGAAAGTAAACCTTGTACAGATAGAGAGAGAAAGAGAGACCACCGCGTCGTCGTTGCACAGAAGAGAAAAAGCAGAGTTTGTCAAGAACACTGAAAAGAATCATGAGATCGGAAAAGGGAAATGCAGTAAAGAAACCGGCATCGAGAAGAGAAAAGATCACAATATCCCATTGGCCACTAAAGAACGAAAAGAAAAACTAGGGCAAACGAAAACCTAGCCCTAGTCCTGTAATAAAAAGAAAAGAAAAGTCCTGTAATAAAAAGAAAAGAAACAGACGCTTAAAGCATCCAAGATTCAAAACCAATCAGCCATTTCAAAAACGAAAATGCTAAAGAAAGCAAAATCAGATCACCAGAACTTCATCAAGAAAACAAGCATCGGAGCTTGAAAAGAAAAGTTATGGCGTTAAATCCAAGGGAAAAACACAATGCCATGGAAGAAACACTTACTCAGAACTTGTTCAGCAGTGTATCTCTTTGCAGGATCCTTGCAAAGCATCCTCCTCATCAAATCCTTAGCCGATGTTGAAATCCCTACGAATTTTCTGAAAGGAAACCTCAGATTTCCCCTCAAAACCGCAGCAAAAATATCGGCAGGCGATTCACCAGAGAATGGAGGCTCTCCTCCCAAAAGGACATAGAGAACAACGCCACAACTCCAAATGTCAACTTTCTCGCCATAATCGAGCCCTAAAAGAACCTCAGGGGCTACATAATAAGGAGTTCCAACCACTCCTCTCATGGATCCGCCATAGAAGCAATCGGCCGAGCCAAAATCGGCGAGTTTGAGCCGACTACGGCCATCAAAGAGCACATTCTCAGGCTTGATATCACGATGCGCCACGCCTCTGCTATGACAGTGAGCCACCGCCTCCATTAACTGAGCCATAATTCCCGCCGCTTCCTGCTCAGAAACAGGGTGATCAGCCACTTTATCATATAGATCTTGACCTAGACAGATCTCCATCACCAGGTGCAAGAAGCTCTCATCCTCATAAACCGCCTGCAACAGAATAACATTAGGGTGATTTCCGACTATCTGCAACAGTTTCGCCTCATTCTCGATGCACTCTCGATCGATAGGGTCTTCAAGGAGGCCCTTATCGATGGATTTCACGGCGAAGATTTGGCCGGAATCCGGCGAAACACACCGGAAAACTCTGCCAAAGCGGCCGCGGCCGATTTCTTCAAGAACCTCGAAATCCCTTTTCAACTGCTCGCTCATATCGCTGTATCTCCCCCTAGAGAATCAAGAGCCTCTCAGCTCTATATATAAACGGGTGTTTACGAATCTTTTCCGAATATTCCGTTATGTTTAACAGGCCGTCTCTTGACGGAGCGCCGTCTTCCCCACGTCATCATTCGGTAAAAAAAATGACCGAACTGCCCCAATCTTTTTGTCGTGTTCTCTATCAGTCCTCCACCTTCGGCTTCACATCTTGGGATCATAGTCTTCGATGAGATTGGGCAAATGACCCAAATGGCCCCGGTTTTCTACCAGGCAGACGTCAATGCCCATGGAACCTGGATTTTTGAAAAGGCTATGTAGCATTGGACAGGAAAACTGACTGAAATGCCTATGATTTGTTTATCGAAATAGAAGGAAAAAGTTTATATAGAGCCGAGGCTTTAAACAGTCAAATTAGAGCCTACCTCAAATATTTCATTAGAAGAGGTTGTTTTGATGCTCAAATATCCTCAAATTGATCATCTCGACATCACAATGCATAGACATGAGAAAAAAAGTTAGATTTCAAGTTTTTTGTAACATATTTTTTAACCGTCAATTTTTAAGATTTTCAAGTTTTCAAAGATCTGCTCAATCTATACTATTTTTTAAGCTTTATATTTTATAATTAAAGATGAAAATACATTTTAAGGCTATCACAAAGATTTTTAGTATTGAAACCATATTTCTCAATATTATTTGAAAGTGGGTTTTATTTTGATTGTTTAGAGCCTCGGCTCTATACAAACTACACTATAGACAGAAAGGCCAAATGGATCCCCTTGTTATAGTGTGACTGTTTTAAGCTGGACTCAGTGGTTTAAAATTTGTTGATTCAAAGTCAGATCAAGATTGGAAGCCAACAATTATTATTTATTTTTTTTTTTTGGGATAATCTATTGGGGACTAATTTTTTTTTTTTGGGTAATCTAGTGGGGAAGACAGGCCCTCTTCCTGTTTTCCATATAGATAAGGTGTTAAGGGGTGGTGTCAGCATGATTGGAAATCACAACATAATAGTAGTGCTACCACCACGACCCAACCCCTTTTCTAAACCAATTGATTCTAGTTCATAAACCCTAAAGTCGGCCCAATTCTCCTATTTTTTAGTTTTTTTTTCTAATTTTTTGTTAAGTATAGCTTGATTTTACTCGGGAACTACCGAAGACGAATGGAAATTGGACACTAAGTCGTTAGAAACCCATTCCAATTTTCTTCGAAACTGGAGCATGGTGATCTTACGTCATTTATATGAAAAAAGATTCATTTGATTTTGACTTAAAAAGGTTCCAAGGGTGCAATGTTGATAGCCAAAAAAGGAAATTATATTTATCAAGTTTCAGTGAAATTCATAAAAAGTTGGATTCTATAATCAACCCATACTAGAGAACATAGTAGTCTACATTATTCAGTAGATTTGACAAAAAGAGAAAAAAAAGAAAAAGAAAATGGGACCCAATGAACAGGTTGTTTAGTTTCCATGAAAAGACATGGAAAAAGATATATTTTAATTTTTGACATAAAATTACTTTTTTTTTTTTATTTGATAAATCTATACATTAAACTACAAGTCGGGGTACAAGACTTTTAGGTAAACAAGAATTCAAACCTCACACGTAAGTCCTGTGGTCCTAGGACCCGACCAATAAGCCAAGGCCCACACGGATAAGCTTTTCAATAAAAGGACATCTTGCTTTAATAAAAATTTGGTATTTAGTGTACTGACTAACATGTGGGAACTCATGTAGTCAAAAATAAGGTTGTGGGGCTGTCCGGGTGACAATGATCCCAAGACTTGAGGGATAAATTCGATCCAGGTCTAGGTATGGGTTCAAAAATTGGATCTAACGGGTCAACTTTTGGTCCGGTAATATTTTTTAGGTCTCAATATATCAGCTCTATTTAAATATAATTATGTACGTAGATATTTTAATTTATGGATCGGGTCTAATTAGGTCTGCTCAAGTCTAGGTCCGGGTCTAGGTCCTACACTATATTTTTCAGGTTTGGATCCAGGTCTGATGAATTCAGGTATGGATCCGGGTCCAAGTCCAAGTCTAGTGAATTTGGGTATGGGTCCAGGTTCGGTGAATTCAGATCTGGTCAGGTCCCACCCCTGCCGTTGTGATACTTTGGTCTCATGGCTACATTTTATGTTCATATTTGATCCTCAATTTGACCTAAACATTAACTATGCTCAAAAGAGCTTTTATTTCATCAACCATCATTTACATTGTAGTCGTCAGTTCTGGAATGGGGACACGGTAGTATGGGACTAATACTGGCACTGAAGGGTTAAAAATATTTGTGACACAAACTATCATAGAAATGGTTCTTGTTAATTAGTTCTTACTGGTATTTTAAAATCTAGATCAGTGGGGCGGATTGTTCATCCAAAGATCATGTCATATCGTTGGATCATCAATTTGAATTAAGTCTAGATTGATCTGAATCGGCGATCTAAACAAACGTTGAAAATAAATGAAATACAATAAAAAATTTAAAAAGTATTTATGGGATGGGACTTTAAGGAGAGTTGAGATAAATTAGATAAGTTAGCAAAAATAGGAAAAAATATAAAAAGTAAGGGGGGTTTGGAGGAGAACAATGTTGGGCCCATACAATCCCAGAGCCAGTTCAATCATGGTAGATTTCTATCCAAATCCATGATCCTAATCATAAATTGCCAGAGTTTGAAACACAAGAAACAACCATTGGTTTCTTCAGGAAGAAACGTTTCTATACTTCCCCTATAGCATAGAAGATACTCCTCTTCCTATTCAAATGTCCAATTTAGATCAAACGAGGCATTCACCGTTTGATCTAGATCTGACAAAGTATTTTATTTTTATTTTTTTATAAATTATATTAATATAAAATTTAGTAAGCACCATCTTCTCAATGGGGTGCACCTAAAAAAAAAAAAGACAAGCTTTCTATGCTTATCCTAAAACATAAAACTTCTATACTTTTCCTTATCCAACCGTCTATTCTGAATGGAGGGCAAAGATTGCCCTAATCACAATGTATTATCTTTACACTATTTTATATTTAATTTTTTTATATAAACTATTTTGACACCAAATTTTGAATGTCCAATCCTCTATTAAACTTGCACTAGCGAAAAATAAAAAACAAAATTTCAACATAATTAAATGACCAAAATACCTTTGAATTTTTCAAGGGGTATTTTGGTCATTATATTTTATAAAAAATTATTTTCTATATTTTTTATAGGTTCTCCCCAATGAGAAGATAACACATAGAAAATTTCATATTCATACAATTTGTATATTAAAAAACTAAAAATAAAATACTTTGAGACATCGGATCTAAGATCAAACGGTGAGTGGCTTTCTTGATCAAAATTGAACGGTCAGATGGTAAGGGAAACATAGTTCTTCTATATTATAGGGGAACCATAGAAACCTTTCCAAAAAAATATTAAAAATAATTTTTTGATAAAATATAATAACCAAAATACCCCTTGAAATTTTCAGGGGTATTTTGGTTATTTTATTTTATTGATAATATTATTTTTATATTTTTTACAAGTACGAGTTTAAGAGAAGAGTGTACGCTCAAAATTTGGTGTCAAAATAATTTGTAATTTTTTTTAAATTATATTTGTATAGAGACATGACATTGTGATTGGGGTTATCTCAATAATCCATTCAGAATGGACAGTTGGATAGGGGGAAGTATATAAGTTTTATGCAGTTGGGGAAATATAGAAAGCTTGCCAAATGACCCTTACTCCTTTATAAAGGTTGATAACATATATAAACCTTTTCTATTAGGGCAAAGTTTATATAGATCCGAGGATCTAAATAATCAAATTGGAGCCTACCTCAAAAATTTCACTAGAAGAGGTTGTTTTGATGCCCAAAAACATTCAAATTGATCATCTCGACATCAAGATGCATGGATATGTGAAAAAAAAAAATTTCAAATTTTGAAAATAGTGCATCTTGTACCTCATATTTGGACAGTCAATTTTCAAGTTTTCATAGATCTGCTTGATCTACACTATTTTTTAAGATTTAAATTTCATAATTAGAGATGAAAACATACTTGACGTTATTACAAAGACTCCCAGTATTGAAACCACATTTCTCGATACTATTTGAAGGTAGGCTTTAATTTGATTGTTTAAGACCTCGGCTCTATATAAGACACACCCTTTCTATTAAGGGAAAATTTTATATAGAGCCAAGGCTCTAAACAATTAAATTAGAGCCTATCTCAAAAATTTCACTATAAGATGTTGTTTTGATGCTCAAATAGCCTCGAATTGATCAACTTGACATCAAGATGCATCAACATGAAGGAAAAATAGATTTTAAGCTTTGGAAATAGTGTATTTTGTAAGGTATTTTTGGACCATCAATTTTCAAGAATTTCATTGATCAGTCGATCTACACTATTTTTGAAGCTTTAAACTTTATAAATAAAGATGAAAATATATTTTAAGTCTATCATAAAGATTTCCAGTATTGAAACTACATTTCTTGACACTTTTTTAAGGTAGGCTCTAATTTGATTGTTTAGAGCCTAGGCTCTATACAAACCGCACCCTTCTATTAAGGGTTGAAATTATATTTTCCCATTCTCATATTATCCAAGCTATCCCCATGTTCCTTCAATAATTGTACAACCTGAAAACAACCTAGAAGATTTCAAATCATTATTTTTACTTATTTGGTATTCTTAAAAAGGCATGGGTATTCCTAGGATTCTGTTTAAAGTAACAAATACACGTGACCACCAGGTACGGTTTAGTACGTTGGAAGTTTGCTGTTATATTCCCTAATTACCCTTTCTGCGATGAAAATATGGACAATGCCACAACGCACAAACCTTTGAAACCACTCCGCTATTATTATTAGGGAGGCGAGGCTCTAAACAATCAAAGTAAGCGCACCTTCAAATAGTATCGAGAAACTCGATTTCAATTTTAAAAATATTTGTGATAACTTTAAAATATATTTTATTTTTAATTATAAAATT